ACGGATTAAGTTGGAAATGGTTTCAAAATGCTGTAGGAAGACGGATAAACGTGACTGGCCCACTGTTGAAAATGAAGGCTCTGAAATTCGCTAAAGATCTAGGAAATGAAAGCTTCAAAGCATCAAATGGATGGTTGGCCTCTTTCATAAAGATACACAACATTGTGTTTGGAACACAAAGTGGCGAAAGGGGGGATGTCGACGATTGTCTTGTGCAGACTTAGTTGAAAAGAATTCCAGAGATTATCTCATACTATGAACCAGAGAACATCTTTGATATGGACGAAACAGGCCTTTTCTATAGGTACATGTATGATAGTCAGTTTTTGTTTAAATAAAAAAAGTAAAAAGAAGTAAAAAAAATCCTTCACTCAAACACTCACTCACTCACTCATTCATTCATTCATTCATTCATTCATTCATTCATTCATTCATTTATTTATTTATTTATTTATTTATTTATTTATTTATTTATTTATTTATTATCATTTATTTATTTATTTTATTTAAACAGATCTACAACCAGACAAACATTTTATATCAAAGGAACCGACTGTGCTGGAGGGAAAAGATCTAAGGAAAGGATCACTGTAGCCCTCTGTGCAAGTATGAAAGGGGAAAAGCTGCCCCCTCTAGTTATAGGGAAAAGCCAAAAGCCAAGGTGTTTCAACAAAGTTGACCCCAATACTCTACCGGTGGTATACAGATTTAATAAAAAGGCATGGATGACATTGCCAGTCTAGCAGAGCGCTATGATGAAAAAGTATAGCTACGCAGCTAACAGGACCAAACCTTACTTTCGCTTTCTACGCTTGCCAACCGTTCAAAGAACGATAACTCTAATTACGCGGTGAAATCAAGAAAACTCTAAAAGTACTGTTTTTCAGGTCTCTGAAACTCTTATAAGCGTCAAAAAGTGACCCCACGGTCCACATTTTTAAAACTAAACTCCTTATGCTGAACTCAAATCTGAAAAGTATTTGAAAATTCATTAAGAAATAAAAACGTTATGGGCAGAGGTCTGTTTTAAATTTTGGCCCCCTCAAAATCCCTTTTTTTTCAGAACTTCATTCTCATAATCTAATGAGGTTGCAACAGTATCAAAGTCAATTGAAGTTAAAAATATCATTAAAATATCTTGATTAATTAAGAAGAAAATGCGCCATGACCGATTCCAATTTAACATAGAAACTCCCATAGAGAATTTTTAACGTCCAATAAAACTGGAAGTTCTATTCGGGCTGATACGAAACGTATAGAATATGTTCCGCTTATTAGTTTTAACGTATTTCAATGCTCAAAGTATTTAAATAATGTAAATTGCCACTTTTACAAAATCCATCGCCCCTTCTTAAAAATTTGAAGTCTTATATCTCGAAAAAGTATCTGTGGTTAAAAATCAACTACGATCACTTTTGAATAGGAATAGTTCTCTAAAATTTACATCTTGAACCTGGGCGTTAGAACATTAAAAATTAAAAATTGATTTTGGCTTCTTCAGAAATTTCAGTTTTCCTTTAATAGAAACCAGAAGTAATTAAACCGGAAGGCCAAAACAATACATACAGGAGATATTCACATTTGCTTTTTAGTTATTTTAAAACAAAATACCTATTTTAAAGCAACTCCTTCATTGCTGAAGGAAAAAAGTGCTAAGAAAATTAATTAAATAAGACGATAACAATAGGTCTTTCTGCCTAAAAGCGAAAAGCCCTTAAAAGAAGAAAAAATTCAAGACATGTTATATCATGCAATAAATTTTTGGACACAAATTTTGATTTAAATTTGCTGGTATTCATAAAATTTATAAGAAAGATTTTTCCCTCTGATTGTAGTTGGATTTGTGTATTTCTGAAAAAGTAAAATTCCACCCAATATTATTTTGGAATCAGGTCGCTGCATATTTTATAGAAATAATGCAATTTTCTCGATTAACTATGCATTATGACCTCATGAATTTATCAATTATCCTTCTACTTTCATTTTACTTTCTAAACATCTTCAAGAACATAATCTGTTATACAAAGGAGTCAATTCTTTTATTGCTTGTTTGTTTGTTTGTTTATACAACTCGTACAAAAATAAATCCTATTTTCTGCTAATTGCATAAGTGTTAAATTGAAATTTTGTGTGAAATTGTTTATATAATTAATGCTTGATTTATATTATCTTAATCTGTTGATTTGTAGTAATTGCTCTAAGCTGCAGACTGCAGTGATCTGTTTATGTGATAAGGTCTTGACCGCTCATTAGGATTTGGCTGGGAAATTTAATTCTTGTATCAGCATTGCTGACTTTTATCACCCGAGTCTCAGGGGGATTGAATGTCCGAAGTGCTGGCCACGAGAAAACGCAGAATTCATAGTGTTCACAATTAACAGGTTAATTTAGCAGTGATTGACAGTCTGCAGGTTGGGCAGTTCTTAATATTTAGCGTAGAATTTTTGTGTTCAATTAGTTACTCAGTCGGCTCCTGTGTGTAAAGTGTTACACGGGAATACAAAATAAATTTGTTGGAAACTTTGGGCGTTTTAATTTAAAAACAGAAAGTTTCGGTGTAACAATAAGTACATTTCAAAGCCATTTTCAGTAATTTGATTCTGAAGAGAAATTTTCGCAAATGATAAAAAGATGTTGCTCAATTGCATGTATATTGTATACACGTATAGACAAGAACGTATTATGTTTAATCGGGGTAAACTCCTACTATTTTGCTAAAACTCCATATACAGTAAAACATGCTTAAAAGGATATAAGGGAGTGGTGGCTTTGCTTCGCTATAAGCGTTTTTCTTTAGCTCAATTAAGTCATTTGATAGGAATTAATTGTGGAATGAAAATCACTTCTTTTTACATGTTTTAAGCGTGGCTTTTATTATAAGGCTTTTAGCGTGTTCTTTATAAGCGTGATTTATTGTATATATTAGATATCATACAGTATTTTTAAACATGTAAATGTTATAAGCGATCTTTACAATTTATGTTGCAGAAGAGTTGGAAAATAAGAATAAAACCCACTTGATTCTAATGCAAAAAAAGCTTAAACCCTAATTAAAATATGAAGCACTGAGAATTGCATTAAATAAGAAAAACATCCCGTGTTTTTTTTCATAATTTTTTTTTTTTTTTTTTGTCTTTTGTTTTTTGTTTTTTGTTTTTTTTTTTTTTTTTTTTTTTTTTTTTTTTTTGTTTTATTTAAAACACTTATTTAAACTACGCAGAATTGTTACACACAAATTAGTTATTCAGCATAATACCTAAAAAACAATTCATTTGCAATTTTAAGCTGTATTAACAATATAAACATATCAAATCTTATATATGCATTAAAACAGTTGCTTGTTAAATCTCAGACCACAGTTTATAAATAAATATTTACATTCAGTGTAATTTTCTTCATGAAATACATAAGAAATCTACGACGTTCAAATTTCTATAACACACGCGAAACCTTGTCACCGCGCGGTACCGGTAGAATACACATGCATTTTCAATACTTTATGAACACCAAAATGTACATTGTTTAACACAATTTAATTAAAAAAAAAAAACCTGATGAATTGACGTAAAAATACAGCGAATGTGCATTTAAAATTAATTTGTCACTTTTTTTCCTCGCAATGTTCGTTTGCGTTATATAACTTTACGACGTCACAAACGTCACAAACAGCTCTAACGTCTGAAAAGCACACCAGTTTTGAAGGGCGCTAAATTCACATTAAAGATTACCGAAATAAAAAATTATGAAGAGGAAAATTAAAGAATGTAAATATAAGTTTTGAATTCATATTTTGGGTTGTCTTCGGTCCTATGACACACCTGGCCGTGCCGACAAATTATCAAACCACGCTAACGCGCGGTATTCAATTTGTCGGCAGGGCCAGGTGTGATATAGGACCGAATTCAAATATGAATTCGATAGTTTACTTAAATAAATGGTTGCAACAAACTTGTCTACATGATGCCATTTTGGTCAACATGACCTAATTCATCTGCTGTGAAAGGCAGATCAAGTATATTTTTACAGTAAAGAATTCATTGACAAGTGCTGCTGCTTTCTTAAAATCGAGAGTGTGACTTTATAAGGACATAGCATTCTTGATAAAGGTCAAACAAATTTCGACATAAGCCTAGTAACTTGAAATTTTAACTTTTAAATGCGAATTTTATTTAAAGCAGCAGCACATTCTAGATAGAACAAAATATGCAGAAACAAATGGTAACTTAAATTTTTAATTTTAACTAGAGTATGCCCTTGCGATATTCAAATTTGTTTATTACCTCTATTCAGTACACATACTATGCATTTATTACGTGACTGTCCATTGATGGGACCATACTGAATTCGTACAGAGTTCGGTATACTATGTTCTTTTCATAAGTATTTAACGTATGTAATAATAAAACGGCTTCATACAAATAAATTAAGATATAAATAGTTCCATAGTTCCCGTTTTTGCGTTTTTTGCGTTTTTGGCACCAACCGACTTTCGTAGAAAACAATCTTGAGCGATTAAGTTTTCTTTCTAACATCTTCAAGAAGTAAATAAAAATAAGTATCAGGGAGTTAAAAAAAATGTCGTGAAACTCGAGAATATTTAGGTGAAACTCGTGGATATTTAACGCACCGCAATTAATGCAAATTTTCAAAACTTCAATTTTAACTTTCAAAAAAAAAATGTAGGACAGTAAAAGACAGATGAAAATATTTTGTTTTTTAAGGGAAAAAAATGACAATACAAAAATGATCACTGTCCTTGAGCTTTGTTAACTTTTCTCAAATTATCATGCAATGCTTCTTCGTGGTCAACACTGGCCTTTTATACAAGAACAAAAATATAAATAAGTCATTCTCTTTTTCCTCTAGAATAAAGTATGGCCAATTTTTCAAAGTAGTTTAATAACAGGCTGTTGACCTGCCATGAATAAAAATATGAATGGAAAAAAGTAAAGATTTGTCGTAATTGCATGGCATCAACTTGAGTCTTATATATAATCTAGAATGCCAAGCTGGTAAATATGGACAAGGATGTTCTGTCCAATGTGGACAGTGTATCGATGATAAACAATGTCACCATGTGAATGGCTCATGCCCTGGAGATTGTTCTCCAGGATGGAAGGGAGATAAATGTGATCAAAGTAAGTTTATGATCAATGTATTACATTTTCACATACTACTGAATTCACGGTCTTTAAAAACTGTAATATTTTGTCTCTCTACATTACTGTTTACAGGGAAATTCCAAAATACTATCGTTTGAGTCGTTTAATTTTCAACCTTTTGCAAATTTGAGAATTAATAACAGGTTAATATCAACGAAAACAGCATTATTTCTTCAAACTGAGTTTGGGCAAATCAAAAAAAAACCTTGTAGGGGTATAAGGCAAAAAAAGTTTGTTTTTTTTAACTTGTTTGATCTTCATTGATCTACTTTAATATGTTCTACAGATTCTTTCTTCATACTTTACATATATGAGATTACATTTTCTTTCTCACGATTACATTGATTGCAGAAGCATGGATTTCCTTTGTACATGTGTTTGTATTTTGTTTGTTTATCTGTTATACATCCTCTTAAAGCAATGTGAGCTGCAGTTTTGAAATTCTTTTTGTTGATATATAATCATATGATAATACATCTGTATGTAACAGTAAACTTACAACTTTATGATCAATACGACTTAATTAAAGCACAATCCATTATACGAGGGTTGTTCGAAAAAATCGTGGACAACTGTCGTATTCTTTTTATTTGACGTCAAATATTATCCAAATTTGGAAGAAATATTTTTACAATTAATCTAAATGATTTGTATTATTATACCCCCCGCTTGAAAAGTGGGAAGGTATGTAGTAATCGGGATTTCCGTCCGTCCGTCTCTACGTCTGTCCGTCCGTCCGTCTGTTACGCTTTATTTCTTCTCTGCAACTCCTCTTATACTACTGAGTGAAATTTACTGACACTTTCACAGAATCTTTATCACATATTGCCATTGTGCACCTCCTATTTTACTTTTTTATTAGACACATATTTTAGGTTTCCCATAGCAAAACATGGACATTGCCATTATACGTTTACCTATGGCGTCACATATAGAAGCTTTTGGATAACATTTGATAGGACGAGTAATTCCTCTTTACACATAAAACAAAATATAGCAACACATGGACATCATTGGAGGCGGGGGTAACATTCAGTGAGCTCATTGCCCACAGTACCTCTAGTTCTTATTCCAAGATATTATGATTTATTCCAAACTTATCCAGATTTTAAAAATGCAAAAATCGGATCACGGAGCAGGTCAAAATTTAGTAAGTTACAGAAAATACACTATATAATGTCTGCACTCATATTCTTTGTAAAATGGAGTAAAAACGAAAAACAACCTAAACATTCAAATTAAAAATTGCTACACCGATTCGTTTACCAAATTATGGCTTTATATTTTGCTTTGTTGAATAGAAATCAACTTGAGAGGATAGGTAGTCCTTCTTGAAAACGACAAAACGATGACGTTTAAGAGCATCACGGAGCAGTAGATAGCGATGCAATTTTGTGTTTTACTCAGGAAAAACCCTGTATAAACATCTAAAAATGTTGGAGAAATCAAAAAAAAAAAATATGTCACAAGCGAGTTATGCCTGTGAGTACAAATAGTACAGACAGTATTTGAGAGACAGATACTCTATATTTAACTGTAAAAATCCAGACAAAAACTTAAAAAAATTGGAAGGTCAAGGAAAGACATGGGCGCTTCAAAGTTGCGTATCCTATAAAAGCAGAGTTAAGTAATAAAAGAAATTAAAACCATAGCAAAGGAAATTACACAAAGAGAGTAATTCTTAAAAAAAAAATATATGTCAAGTATTAAACAAAAAGGATTTAATGAGTGGGCATTGGATTATACCGTGTAATCTACAGGGATAGTATTTTTTATTTTTTTTTTTTTAGAAATTCTCGACGCTATGTTTTGACGTTACATTACCGTTAATTGTGCTCCGCGGGTACAAAACATGTTGATTTTAAATGAAGTAAATTGATTTCTTTTAAATCGAATGGAATGAAACTTCCCACATCAACAAAGCAAATATTTTTACATTATTATATCGTGCTTAATTGAATTTCAAGTGAGTATTATAACGAATATTGACATCGTCCACGAACTTTTCCAACAACCCTCATATAGTTTTATATAAGAATTCATATAAGAAATCATTATTTCACAGGACGACAATAATGTAATTTAGATTCAATCAAACCTAATAAATAGTTTTTCCATCGCATTAATGAACAACAGAAGTTGATCGACGTAATTTTTTTTTGTCATTGAAATAGTTATTTACATTTTTGTAATTTAAAATTCTTCCATTAATGTTGCTGCTAAAATTGCTTTTAGAAATGTTCCGTTGTACTTAGAGGCAACAACTTTTGATGGAGCGCTGCAAAATCTACAGCATTTCAGCACTTGGGGTTTCGGCAGTGGGATTATTTTGTCGATTTTGTCGTGTCAGCAACTTCCGTGGCACAGGAACTCAGTTGAAAGGTGGAATGCCACACCAACTTTTTATTTTAAGGATCTTTGAGTCATCCTTTTTAACCAATGGTTTCAGCATTGAAAGTCCGATATTAGCTCTCAATTATTTTTCATATTATTTTTTTGTATATTTTCAAAGAAAATGAAAAAAAAAAATATTTATATCCTAATTAGATGTGTCCAAGTTAAAAGATTGCTGTAAATGAATGCATGATATAAATATCTAATAAGATATGCAAAGAAAGACTGATTAGACTTTTCAATTTTTTAAATAAAAATTATTTATGAAAATAAAATACATTATTTGTGGATATTTTAACCTATGGTTAAAAACACCATACACCTAGTCACAACTGAGGGGAACATGTCTTACAATCATATTTTAAAAAGATATTGAAACGAAATGGAGAAATTTTAAAGAAATTATTTTTTAATATTTTAACCTAACCTGATCAAAATTAAACTGATCCCAATCACAATTAACACAAAATAAATAAAATACTAATTTATTGCCTTTTTCATGTATTTACAACAAAGAAATCGATTTGATTGTCAAGTTCAATAATGTTATAACACTTATTACACCCAATCAGTGTAGTGTTCTTTGGGAAATGTTATTTATTTCCAATAATTGTACAATTATGGTTGGGTTAGGTTTATTTTGATAGCGATTGGCCAAAATTCTAAAAAAAAAAAAAAAAAAAAAAATTCTCTAAGATTTGGCTATTTCGTTTCAATTTCTTTTAAATATGATTAACAAAGATGTTCGTCCAGATGTGACTTATTTAAAGAAGATTTTTACCACAAGTTTAAAAAATGTTCACAAATTATGTGTTTATTTTCATAAGTATTTTCATATTATCTATACGCCTTTTCTTAACATATTTTATTAGGTATTCATGTGATGCATTCATTTAAAGCAAAATTTTTACAAGAAAGCATCTAATTTTGATGTAAATAATAGGGATCCAAATTTAACATTGAGATTCAACGGAAAAATTTTAAAAAGCAAGAACCTTTGAGCCAGGAAAGCTGAAACTTATGTCGAAGCATATTGGGGTAGCGTAGATTCTAAATCTTACAATTCATGACCCCAGGGGCTGGGCGGGGCCAGAATAGGGAATTCAAGTTTTACATTGAAAGATATAGCAAAAAAAATAAACATGATCTCCTCAAAAATCCCTAGGCCAGGAAAGCAGAAACTTGTGCAAAAGCATCCTGGTGTATTTTTCCAAACCATGACCCCATGCCATATGGATGGGCCACAATAGTTATAACAAGGGAGGAATCTGGGGAAGAACAGCATGGCAATAGTTACCCAGGTGAGCGTTGTGGCCCGAAAAGGCTATCGTTACTGTTTTATTTAACATAGAAGTCTCATTTTCAGAAAGTGGTTCAAACCTTCGATGTACTATAAAAAAATCTGCTCCTGGTTTTTAGATTGTCCTTTTTAGTTCTGTGCATTAAAGTCAACAAAATAAGTTTAATTTTATCCTTAATATTTAAAAATAACAAGTGATCAGCAGTCTTTGTTGTCCATTTCTTCTACGCAATATTAAAATCGATGTCGTCGTCTTTCTTTGTAGAGTGCCAATATGGATACTTTGGTCAGAATTGTAATACTTCTTGTAACATTCCAAACTGTAAAAACAGTACATCATGTGACGCTGTCACTGGGGAGTGTATGGATGGCTGTGTTGAGGGTTGGGCGGGGAGGACATGTGATGGTATGTTATTTTCAGTACTTGCAATTTTGGAAAATAACCATAAACTTTATTTATGAGACAATGCTTTTACTTATTTTATTAAATCTTTTTTTCAGAATACTTTGAAACAATTGTGTTTTTAATAATTAATACTCGTTTATTTATGTTAATCGTTGGTTCAAAGTAAAGTTAATATTTGACTGTATAAAAAGGGTCCCTTATTTGAAATTTTTATTGAAATACAATGCTATATAATGATGTTTGAACATTCACTATGTATAATTTCACGTTTTTTTAGGCTAGAAAGTAATGAGACCTCACCTATTATATTGGTATAATAATAACAAAAAATACTAAATGCTAAAACGACGTTTGTTTAAAAATTTTATTACAGTTTGTGAAGAGACATATTATGGTCTATTCTGTAATTTAACTTGCAACCGACATTATATTGATCTTAAATACAACCAAATAAATGAGCATTGCTTAACGTATCCTGAATACAGGGATGGGCCGTTTCGTGATTTTTTTAACAACAACACTGTCATTAGGTTCAAATTCTAAATTTGATGATAATTGATTTACGTAATATTTTTCTCCTAAGACAACATTTTCAAGCACATTTTCTTTGCACTTCAATACTTACAGTGGCTGCAGCGTTATTGTTGACAACTTACACGAACGATCACGTTACACGAACGATCCTGCACGATTAACGCACGATTAAACCTGTTACACGAACGATCCTTCACGCACACGATTCTACACGGTACACGATCTTACACGATTGCTAACGCAAACGCACGATTCTTCACTCTAAAGATTTCAAAATATTTAGGAATCGATATTTTCAAAACGGAATACGGCTAAATACATGTAAGACTTAATATTTTAGAT